TTAAAATGCCAAAAATACTTCCGATGCAACAACCATAGTTTTTTGTTATTATGCAAGCTGACTATACCTAAAGCTATCTCATATAACATAAGGGAGAGAGACAGATGGCTCATACCTTTTTCGCGAACGAAATATGGGATGAGCAGTCTGTCATACCTTGTGCCACGCTTGCTCAACGAATTTGAAAGAAATGGCATTTGCATACAAAGATCTTCAAGAAGTGCAATAAAACGGTATGTGGGTGAGCAGTTATCTTCAAAGTAGTAGTGCGCGTTACGTTAAGTTATTTTTTATCAAAAAATTTGCCTGTTATACAAGCTTCTCAGTTTGTTAAGATGTTTACATACATGATGCATAATGGTCTTTATTGCGCATACAAATTTTGTACATCTCATTTGTGCGAAATAACCTGTGTATTCCATTATTCTACATTATTTCCGCTTGCGTTATGCACTGTTTCATGATTTTTCTGCTAGATGTGATAACCGAAAATGTTTAATAGAAATGTGAAATTAGAGATGTTTAAATGCATGGTAGGTTGTTTTTGGCTGTCGAGAATTGGGGCAAGGACCTTTGTCAAGCTGCTGTATAGCAGCTTTTTGTTCTTGTCCTCGTGTTCATTATCTTGCTGTAATGAATGCCAAATAAAATTGATTGATTGATTGATTGATATATTCTATGGCGTTCTAGGAACCACTCGAGTCTGGCAAGGATCATTCGCTCCATCAGCTTCCCTACGCAACTAGCCAGCGCTATTGGGCGGTATGATGTCAGCTCTAGAGGCGATTTTCCAGGTTTGAGAAGTGCAACCAACCGGCTTGTTTTCCACTCTCTGGGGACCGTTCCATCTCTCCAAGACTCATTGAATACTTCCAGCAAAGCACTTCGTGCTCGATCACCGAGATTGCATAATAGGCGGTATGATATGCCATCCGGCCCAGGCGATGACGATCGATTGCATGAAGCAAGAGCCACATTCAGTTCTTCCATTGAAAAAGGCAGGTCCAGGTGCGGGTCAAGTGAATGTGGCGTGTAATCAGCAGTAAGGGCTTCTGTGCAATTTGGTGGGCCCGCAATCTTCCTACAAAAATCTTCCGCTACCTCGATATCCCTTCTATTTTGGAAAAGGGCCAAGGCTTTAAACGGAAAACGTTGTTGGGGAAATGTGCGTAGGCCTCGCACGGTTCGCCATATTTGAGAAAGCGGTTTGCGAGGGTCTAGACTCGCGCAAAATTTCGCCCACCGTTGAAACTCCAGTTTGTCTATACGACGCTGGATCTTCTTTTGCATGCGCCTGGCCATCCGTAGATCTTGAGTGGATTTTGTGCGTCGATATCTACGCTCCGCACGCCGACGAGTCGCACGGAGTCGCTCTAACTCCATGTCCGTTTCTGAGGGCCTTGAAGAATATGCCAGCGTGCGCATCGCACTCTGCGCTGCTTGTTTGATCGCTTGCTCAATGCCAGAGGTTAAGCCTTTTTCACAAGCGTGTTCAATGTTGGTTGTGAATGCTGAAAGATCGATCCTCCGTACGGTTTTCGGCGGGTGGTCGCTAGCAAAGCCTTCGATGGTGAGATAACTGGGGATGTGATCGCTACCATGTGTCTCGATGTCTAAAAACCACTTAACGCTTGTGGCGAAGCGACGTGACACGAACGTCAAGTCCAAACAGCTGCTGTACGTTGATCCTCGCAGAAATGTAGGGCTCCCATCATTAAGTAGAGACAGTTCATGAGTCGATACAAATGAAGCCAGCCTCCGGCCCGTGGTATTGACTTTTGAACTTCCCCAGATTGGGTGGTGGGCGTTGAAGTCCCCTATAATTATCCACGGATCCGGGACGCTCGAAAGAATGTCATCCAGTCTTTGGCAATCAAAACGGGCTGAGGGAGATAAGTAGACACCTATTAATGTGAAGGTGAGGGTTTTCTGCTTCACAGTCAGGCAAACATATTGGTTCTCATCATGAGGCGACACAGGTTGAATGATGTAGGTAAGCTCCCGACGAATATACACAATGACCTTGCTGCTTTCGTTTCGGGTTTTGGACGGGATTGATTCGTAGCCAGATAGCCTGATCGGGTTTGATAATTTCGGTTCACATATTACGATGATTGGGAAAAGGTTAGAAGACACGTACTGACGAAAATCAGAAATCCGTGATCTAAGTCCTCTTGCGTTCCACTGGATGACTGATGCTTCTCTGACGTCTTTGCGGAACGATTGTTGATCTCCTGCCATGACTCTACGCGAGGGAGGCGAGGACTGGGCTCAGCGCGTCCAACACCTGTAACCCGCTTCGAGCGGTTGGAGTTCCCAGGCTTCTTAGTATGTCTGCCATGACAGCGACGAGGGATCGTAACATCGGGATGATCTGTCGATCGACCCTTGACACATCCTCAACGGAAGTAGACTCGGTGGAAGGTGTAGGGCGGCGAGGCCTCACAGGAGGCTCCTTTGCAGGCTGTGTACGCGGAAGCGTAGGCCACTCATCCGCAGCTGTGAGCTTCTCCACTTCTTTTCGCTTCGTGCTTACTACTTCACTCGTGCTCGGAGGAAATGGGTTATGCGCAACACTCTGTCCTACACGCCTCCGTCGGCGACTACGTCGCCGCCGTACCCTTTCAGCAGCCTCTCTGTGGGTTGAATTGTCCCTAACCATTTGTTTGATAATGGCGATTTCCTTCTTAATCCGAGGGCATTCCTTGGATGCAGCATCATGCGGACCATCACAGTTTCTGCACTTCAGACTTGTTGCCCGACATGCGTCTGCAGTGTGCGGCTCAGCGCATCGGGGCATACTGTGGTGTTTGTACATACACTCTTGATGTGACCAATTTTCATGCAGTTATGGCACTGGAGTGGTTTAGGGACAAATGGTCGAACAGGAGTCGGAAGTGTCCCACTTTGACATGCGACGGAATGGAATCTCCTTTGAACATTATCTTTACACATCGGGTGTTTCCGAGGCGAAGTACATTCGCGATGAGAACTCCTTCGTTTGCTGGTTTTATGAGAGTTGGGAGGTCCGAGTTTGCTATGGCCAAATCAATGTCGTAGATTACTCCCGCCGTGCAGGCACCGTCCATTGGAATAACCGGTCGTACTTTGATGCCTCCCAAATCTGATACTCTGCGAAGCTTGTCTATGGCGCTGGCAGTCATTGTGTCCACAGCTAGAATATTCTTCCGCGTGTTCACCCGGATATCCTTAATGTCGTTTGGTGCTACCCCCTCAAAGTACATAGAGAGAGCTTGCCTGTTTACTGCTCGAAGGCTGATGGTGGAGTCCTCGGGCATGAGAGGATGGTGTGCGGCCAGCATTCTCCTTTTGACTGAGACGTTAATGTCCCTGCTGGTGAAGACGACTTGATACTTCTTCTTTTGGCCTTCCTGCTTCTCACGGTCTCGAAGTCGTCATCCGACGAGTCGTCGCCAGTGGCCGAGTACAGTTCCGTGTCCTCGCTGGTGCTCGAACAGGTGCTTCGTTTCCGCGACGAGCTTGCCAAAGGTGGTCTATGGTCGGACATAGCCGCAGAAGGCTCCACGTCCACAGCCATGATGCAGTGACTATCACCGTTGGCCTCACTGGTTCTGGGCCAGGCGCGCTGATTTACCGAGGAGCTCGCCATAGCAGACCTCTGGCTGGGCGGACCAGTGGATGACTCCGCGTCCGTCGCCTTGGGGCAGGGAGCAGCGTCTCCCGTAGAAAGTTCACTGGGTAAGAGTGGCAAGTTGTATACCGGATGCCATGAGCTTGTTTAGAGAAAGCAAGATCCTGGTAGAACATGGTCCTACATGAAGAGATGAGCTAGTCGTAATAGCTAAACCATCCTGAAATACCTGAAGCATACATTTGTGCACTTAATTTATACCCATAATTAGCTGCCTCATCGCGAAGCCTCGCTATGTTTGAGTACCCAGAATAAAGTTATGATCTATGAAAGCGTTGATATACCACTAATATTACTATTTATTTTTGCCCATTTCGGGCAATTGTATGCATTGACAGCCGCCGCTCCGAACGGGCCACGAAGTGCCACTCAGACACTAAACTGTGTACATTTCACGGAAAAGCAGTTATAATCAGTTAAGAACAACAGATCAAACTTCAAAGCTTTCTTTTCAACAGGGTTGCTGATCGGGCGAGTTGGTCATCCATGAACGTAGCGTGTATTAGCGCAGTACATAAACGAAAGGGACAGACACAGACGTAGAAATAGATTGGCGCCTACCTATTTCTACGTCTGTGTCGTGTCCCTTTCTTTTATGTACTGCGCTAATACACGCTACGTTCTTTTCAACCTTTGTGTATACAATAACCTCCCTGTGATTCAATGTGGACACCGAGAAAAAATCTTATGTTGGGAAAGTAAAACCAAGCAGCATGCTGGCTGTACTATAATAAGCTCTGAAAATGATCATACCATAGTCCAATTGAAGAAGGGCCTCCCAGTGAAACGAATGTCATTCAAACTTGTGGGGATATTCACGTTAATCCTTGCGCCATAAGCCAAAAAACAATCTAAAGAAATGGCGAATGCTCCGCATTTTGGAAGCACAACTGTTTTTTACTAACCGGCGGGAACACTGGCGGAAAACTGTTCGCAAATCAATGTTTTTGAAGTCAGAGATGGCGACACGCTCGCACTTTGGCTGATTGACCAAATATAAAAAACGACGTCAAAAACGAAGTTTCTATCTCTTATATGTGACCTTTGAATTTCTGAGCTAAAAAATCATGATGTTCAGTAGGCCTAATCACAGAATGGGAGAGGATATAAGGATCGAAAACTCGCTACCTACAGACAGCTGGCATTATTTGGTAAACTGAACGTACGTAACTGCATGCGCAGGCTCACACTTGTACACTTGGAATAAATGCCGTCTTACAGTCACACAAATAAAACACTGTGAATTCAAAATTGGAAAGAGTAATACTGAATGGCTTTATAGCACACCACCGTATTTCCTCGCATCATCAAAGATAACTTGACAATGTTTCAAGGCGACATGTATTTATTTTTCTTGTTGTGTTAAATAGTTATGCTCATTAAGACAAATCTCTGTCGAGCCCCTCCACGGTGTGACTCCGAGAGCTATAGGAACTGTCAGCACGCAGAAGACACCGTGCGAACCGCTTTCAGTGATGGTGGTGGCCATGCCCGGCCTCTGGATCGCAGGTAGTAGCAGCGTTGTGAATCTCCGTGATTTGAGCCTTCTATAACACACAAAAGCAGTAATATGTAACACTTATACTTGCATTCAACGTCCGATAATAACTCAGATATGTGTCTTATGATGCATTTAAGCGTTATATATAATGCGAATGACCTTTACAGGCCGTTACTTTATTTAGTTTTGTGGTACTGCCTCGTGACCTGTAAACTTCAATAGAAATCGTTCGAATTTAATGCATGAAAACTATTATGTGAATATTTGAGACGCAATCTGGTATATTTTCAAACACAGGGTAGGTATGTAGCAGGCGCATGTATATGACAGAAAACTTTTTCATTACTTGCGAAAAAATGATGCTAAATACGGTGGTTATAAACGCGAAATTGGATCCACCGACAACGTCAAGCCATCACCAGGAAAAGATCCCGTTTTGCTACTTTTTAGCCCTTGTTCCAGTAAATACGCTTCATTAGGACGTGTAAAACCATTATTCACAATAAATATTCATTTGGAAAGATCAACTCCTCATTCGTCTTGTGAAAAAGTCAACAGCGCCAAACAATACTAGGTGAATAACCGATGACCGAATTAGCACCTTTTAGATCTCAAGGGCTGTTTTTCGTCGATGGACTAGTTTTTCGTCTTTAGTTCCTCATTTGAAGAACATGATGTATATACCAAATATTCAGGCATATACTGCGTATGGGGTGGTATTAACGAAGGAGTATCACAGGACAACTTGAGATATGAATATTGAGGCGTGATACTCGATACAGAAACCCGCGGACGCTATAGAGCGTCCGCAAGTTCCTATCTCAAGTATCATGCCTTACTATTCATATCTCATGCCTGAATATTCGGCATATATATCAAGTTCTTCGACTGATTTCTACAGTCTTTCATAGACGACTTTGTCAAAGGGTATACAGTTGGTAATGACGCAGCGGTTCTTTTTCGTACCCTTGTTTGTTTATATATCACACTAAATTAGGATGAGTATTTAGGTGTTCTACGTTTACGAACAATGTACAAAACCCAAATGGAAGCAAAAGATGATTTTCTAACGTAATTATTGCATACTAACTGACAAAATAGAGCATGTGCGCACACTTCTATGACACTATTGAATTCCAATTAACAACAATTGAATTCGACTGGAAAAGAACAACTAATATATTGATAGTTCACGGGTGTCGTCAAAACAAACCGACATCATAATGGTATAGTGCATTCTATTCGATCGATAGTTTATTTACATCACGTTCCTTGATTTCGCCAGTCGATATTTTTCGGGATCTTGGTGCAACTATCTCTGTCAAGCCTCATGAACTGACATGTATTACTGACAATATGGGAAGAACCCTTAAATGTATGTTATCCTGCGAATTGGTCCTTAATAGGTATATAGCCACAACGTAATATGTCCATAATTGTCAAAATCATTGTTTTCCTTGAAAAGCATCCTACATCACATTCTTTGTCGCGATATCGCTGCAATGCATCTCTCCTTGCATTTATTGTTTCGTTTTATGAATTTCGGCATAGCCCCTGAACTGCGAAATTGGTAAACATGTAAACTTCATAAGAGCTTCGTAGTAGCAGATTGCTACGATGAACAAAGTTATTTCATTGTAGTAAATTCAATATTTAGAAGAGCTGGTACCTTTAGGCGTACATTTTGAAGCATACGTGAAATGGGCTTACACTTTAACTTCCCATGGACAAATTTCATTTCAAATAATTGTAAGAACAGGAATCAGATAAATTCTAGCTATTTAGTTGGAATTCTTTAGAGAATATTCTAATATTTTATTTTACTGTACTGAAAGTTTTACATATTGGCAGTATTTTAGCCCTATCATTTTTCGAAAATTTCCAGCATTGAGTTATATTTTTACAAAAATCTCCTGTTTGACGGGCCGTAAAAAAAGAAATGCCCAAGTTAAGTTACTTAAGTTATTTATTTTTTTACTTCAATAATACGGGGTCATGGCGAAAAAGAGGACAAGCAATGCAGAGGAGAAAATTTGGGCACGCAATTATATTTTGCCATCGACCCTCCAGAGATGTCATGCATGCAAGGCGATATCGAAAGCAATGCCAGCGTTGGAGAAAATCGGCACTTCTACTCACCGTGAAGTGAGCGGCCATGGCGCTTTCCTGTTCAAGAAAAAAAAAGACCAAAATTACTTGAGCCGTGAAATCTCAGACAAGGCATCTTTAAAAAAGGTGTGCTTATGTTTGACGTTACTCGGTGTGGTATTTGTTGTGGTACTTGTACCTTCTATATATAGTTAACAAAACATTGCTTTTTTACAGCTATCTCAGTGCTATTAACAGTTATTTTACCCTAAGGAGCTATAAACAGCATCTGTTCAAATTCGTTATGTATCTCTATGTCAGTATTTTTACTTACTTTTTGATATTGCCAGCTATTTTTGATGTAAAGTTTTACTTCTTCCTCCACGTGACTTGCAGCTTATAAAATACCACCCAAGCGTTCACGAACAGTTCTTGCTTTTTGCGTATCTGACTCACGCATTTGATTCTGCTGAAGTACTATACCGTCAAAAACATGCGAATTGCGGGGTGTGAAACTACAAAGTACGCAAGATGCTCTTCATTGGAAAGCACCAATTAATGCCCACGAGGTTACGACTGCTCAAATAATACTCCGCAAAGATAAAGAAAGTCTCTAAATTTATTCCAAAGTGGAATAAAATTAAGAAACAGCAAGCTGAAATAAACAAGTAAACCAGAAAATAATTGTTACGGGTGAGACTACAGGAAAAAGAAACAATGTTTTTCTATACAAACCAGTGCACTTCATTTGAATTTTTCAGAGAAAGCTTATTTAATTAAAAATCACAGAATAAATTTGGGGTTCACTGCTTTCTTGAACAGCATGGCAAGGAACCTCAAACGCCGCGAAATGTTTGGGGAAACGTGACAAATAGTGCGAATATTGCATTCAACACAAGCTCATTCGTCAGGATACGTGAGACGGAATGCGCATTATGTCGTTTCTTAACTGTTACAGTGAGCATCGGAGTTGCGTTATAGCTAGAGCAGATAGCCGTTCGGGAAGGCTTCATTCAATCTAAGTCGACGGTATGCAATGGCACGATCGTATGTAAGTCACGCGTCTGATTCTTATAATGAAGCGCTTATACTATAAGCCCTGCATGAGGAAGAGCTTATTCAATCATTTTTGTTAGTCTTTTATGTTGTTTTGTTTTTACCTTATAGAGGACATGATAGCTCTTGTATGTATGTATTAGAAATGATGAACACAAAATAAAGCTAGCCCATATAGAAGTGCCCATATAGATAACCAGGAAGGCATTATAATGAAAATGCAGGCTTGAAGCGTTTAGATAAATAACGAATGCCACTGCAACGTTGCAATAATGTCGCTAGCATTTCTGAAATATAATATTGCTTGTCTAACCATTACGCCTTTGATATATGGCCAATTTTGTTTTTATTCCTTGCTTTGCTTTAAGATAGCATGAAAACTCATTTGTGGATTTTGCAAGGATGCCATATGCAGCTAGAATGCATATCACAAGAAAGGTTGGCTTCCTCCAGGTTTAAGTGTATCTTCAAAAATGTCTTAGCTTGAACACACACATACCAGGTCGTTTCCTGCGCAGAGCTTCCGGATGACGCAGCTCCTATCCCGGCAGCCAAGGGTCTTCAACGCTTTGTCGAAGCTTTGGTTTGCCTGCATTACAATCGCAATTTGGGTTATGATGAACATTCACTTTTGAATGGAAGATTAGTCAATGTTGCCTCTTTGGAGAGTGATTCTAGTCCCGCTGAAAACATATCAATAATGACAACATAGTTGTAAGCATCCAAGACGCCCATTTATGAGAAGACGTTAAAAATGGTAATAATGGCTGCAGCGCGAGCACGAAGGTGCTAGAAGAAATATGAAACGAAAGGCAAGGCAAGGAAAGCAAAGAGGACAACACCTCTTTGCAGCCCTTATTACCATGAATTCCAACCAACTAGCCCAAATAGCCGTTCTTCTTCAATGCGTTAAAAATCGCATTCGTGAAGCGGCAAAACATGCTATAATCAAATTCTTGAAATATGCTTGCTTTCATGAGACTATTTACCACGCAGGCAATGGCCACGATCACATGTCCACACACTGTTATCTCAACACTCGGTGTGTACGATGTGAACACCGAGTTTGTGTTTCAAGCATGGCCTCCCCTACGCTTTTTTGCGGTATGGTGTTGTCTGCCTTCAGCGCGTGTGTTCTCGCGCATGCACTGAAAAGCGTGCTGTATATTGCGTATTTTGCGTGCGATGTTAACACAAAATTTTTTAATCACGTAGGATATTTTTTATCGAAAATGTCATAACCTTCCGACATATAATGAACGAAAGCTTAATCCACTTTGTGGGAACATAGGGGTCATATGTTTGCACAGCAAACTTGAAGGAGGTCATGTTTTAATGGATCTCTTTTCTTTAACTTTAAGAAGACCCTATCCTTCTTTAACGAAATTCACAATCAAGTCATAACAAAACTGGGCGCGCCGGGAGCTCCGGAAAAGCAGCCCTTGTAATAAATTAGAACAAAATTTCCTGTGACAAAAAGCACGAAGAAAATTGAAAATTGAAACACCATATCGTGTCATCGTTTAAGCTTTGCTATGCAGTTACGGGGTGTAGTTGCCTTTTGCTTTGCTTAGCATCAACTTGCTTTTGATATCACCATCTAATATAAAGCTATCATGTTTCATTACGGATACTTAAAACTAGGCGTGTTTCTCACAATTAAAAAAACGGATATTCATTACAATTAAATTGCTTCCAAGTTTGCCATGTACAGGGAAGAAGGTCAAAAGTTTCCAGGCCACTATTTAATGTATTTCTATGGGAGCATGGCCTCCATTTGACCAGGACTGTACTTAATACTATCTCTAAAATTCCAACAGTCGGCAGTTGGATTACTAATTTTTAACATTTTCTTGTAGTTATCAGGATCAATCATCTACGAAGTGCTGCACACATAGCCACTCAAGCTACTTGATCTGTGGAATTGCGTAAGATTTAAAAAAAGAGTAGAAACAGGTGGTAGCAGTTTTACATCGTCCATTTGAATTTAGTGGCAGGCGTGTATACATTTTTGAAGAAGGTGTGTCACCTGCAACCACATGGCTCTGCAGCATCAGAAATACTAACAACGGGGATCAGCTGTGGGACGTTCAGAAAGTCGACAATAGGGTGGTCAGATTTAGCCTGCCCGTCACGATGAGGGAGAAGCCTATTGTGCTCTAGTCGCGTCTCCCGGACAGCTAATAAAGTTTGACCAAGCTACCAACCTGCAACCAGACCCCATTTTTGTCATGCGCTTCCGTCTGCTCGCTTTCCGCCCCAGGGTACCAAGCATACCCCAAAACCTCTCACCAAAATATCATCAGCAGGAATTCATTTTTGCGTTGAAGAACATAACACGCTTTCAATTCGTCAACTAAAATTAGTCCTCCAAGTGGTTCTTGTCTTACCTCTGCTGAAATGTGGAGCCCGATGCACTGGAGTTCAGTTTTCAACTGTTCGTCTTGTTTCTCTGTGTGAAAGAGAACCATATGCACTGTAGTCAGCTATGTAGACTCTCAAACATTTTCAGCACGCGCAAGTTGGCTTGAATCGCGTCTCTTGTACGGATCTATTTCACAAGTGACCCGTAGCATCTCAGTTATTTGTACATTCGACCTTTCATTAGAAGTTATAAAGGGCAAATTGCCTGGAACTTAAGCATACAGGAATTAACACCAGTCCCTGTGAGATCAACACATGAGCATGAGTGCCAGAATGGAAGTAGAACTTTCATCTTCGCGTCGCCTTGCAATAGTGCTTCATATTTGTCGTTGTCTGGAATGGGCTTCGATGGCACTTCCATGTGATTGCCAAAGTTTATATCCTGTTAAAATGTCACCCAGTTTTTCAATTACCCCCCCTTCCCTCCCCACAAAAAAATACTTTCATCAACACCGTTTTGTAGGAAAACAGTCTCACATCACAATGCGCTATCAGGCGCTGAAAAATCACGTTGCTATATAAGTCCTGCTCACCTTACATGCTTTCGAAACAAGCCGAACCGGAATTATACTCACTGCAAAGCTCCAAGTGGTGAGCAGTGCTCACAGCGGCGAAAGTGGCGAGCAGGGCTAAGACCATAAATGCCTTCATGATTGTTCTGCGGCTCTTCGCTGGGTAGACACGACTGAATCAGGAAGTCTGGATGCAGCGAGTGGTGCCGAGGGTCGGTGAGGGCGCACCTTTTAAAAGCGGTGGCAATGAGAACCCCGCCCACGTTCGGCCACAACCCCCCGGCCAACCTCGAGCTACGACAGACGCCCTGCGAGCCACAAGTAAAACGAAAAACGATCGAGTTTCTTCAGCTCTATTGGTCAGACATGGCGTCAGACATGAGGTACACGCATTACCCGTCACGCTGCCAACAACACATCCTTCCGCTCTTATTGACGCAATCCGCGTATGAACCAGCACGCGCTGCATCTAAAAACTGCCGCCGCACGTGAGGAACCCAAGGACGCGAATCCCTCGCCACCAAAAGACGCGAGTGCCTTTTCCCACTGTCTGCAATGCTGGTGTTACGCGATGCCGTGAAATGAACCTCGCGCGGCTCCTTCCTCTTTGTATACAGGGCGAATCACGCCTCAGTGCGAGTGCGGGCCGCGTAGGTCCACCGAGTGCTGCGTTGAGCGTAACATGGGCTCTTTCAGACGGCGTTGCTACCGTAGCCCTATTGCCTCTATTGCTTCCCGGTTGTTGTTGTTGTTGTTGTTGTTGTTGTTGTTGTTGTTGTTGTTGCGGTTTTTTTTACACTTTTTAGAAGCGTGTTTCAATGTGCGCAACGTCGCCAACATTCACGCGTTGCTTGCTGACCGGTACGGTGCAATGTTCCTCCGGCGTTACCGGCGCTTGCCTTTTCGTGCGCACGATCTGCGTGCAAAGATTAAGCTTAGCTTGCCAGCCCTAACATTATGTTAGGCTAGCCGGCATGTGCTCCTTGAGATAATGTTGTATTACGTACAGCCAGCGTTGTTATTCAGTTATTTTTCACCGTTAGCATTGGACTATTAGCACCGTTTCAGCGTGTTTTTCACCGTTAGCAAAAAAAAACTGTTCATTTGAGATGGTGGCTTGAACATGCTCATCGCGAAAGTACACCAACATGTAACTATAATTTTATGGTTATTACCTACAACCTTATTATGACCACGTGCTTCAATGCTGACCGAAAAAGATAAATATTCTATCATGAGTTTTGATAACTAATAACTTATTCTGATTTGTGGATAATGTAATGTCCGCATAATTAGGTAATTCACCTGCACAACTTGAAATCTGACGGCGTTTTTTAGGAATTTCTCAGTACATAAAAGTCTAAGTTCTAGAAATACGGGCTGTAAGGTCAAAGCGGTCCTTGAAAGATGCCCTGAAACGTTTTGTCTACAGCCTGCTGCTTCACTAGAGAGTGCGTGTGGTATTTAGTACTGAGAGGAACGCAAAAAGAACTAAAACAATTGGTGCGCGTAAAATCAAGTTTTAGTCTGACAACTTCAAAACCTGAAAAGAAACGTGAAAACGATGTTTACTTTTAAACCATAGTCTGCAAATGATTTCGCCGACTACATCCTATCTACGCAACTGTACTCTATACAAGGTGTGCACAATTGTGTCTAAACTTTGGCAAGCATAAATACGTTACTTGATTAGAAAAGAGACTTAAATCCCCAATATTTAGGGTATTTTCCTCGAAAATGCACACACCTCTCCGAGATCCCTAATTATGACTGAAAACATTTTTAAAAGCATTTTCTTGGTATTGTCGTGAACCGCCATTTCGCATTCTGCATGATGCTTGCGTTCAACATGACTGCACTACCCTTCAGCAAATTGTTTTTTTGGGGGGGGAGGGGGGCATTGGGAGGCAGCCAAAGTTACCCAAAAGAAATGTCAGGGGATTAAGGAACCGGTCGGATGGCGGGAATGTTGTGTTTGCATGTTGCCCAAAGCGTTTGTTAGATGTGCAGAATGGGTGAATGCGTTAGTCATGAGGCTCCGCGATGGTGGTCTAGTGGCTAGGGTACTTGGCTGCTGAACCGTAAATCGCGGGATCATATCTCGGCTGCGGTGGCTGCATTTTCGATGGAGGCGAAAATGCTGTGGGCCTGTGTGCTCAGATTTGGGTGCACGTAAAGAACCCCAGGGGGTCAAAATTTCTGGAGCCCTCCACTACGGCGTCTGTCATAATCATATGGTGGTTTTGGGACGTTAAATTCCTCATATCAATCAATAAATGAGCTTGCCTCCGCAATTAGCTCCGAGCGGAAGTCACAATTGGTCCTCAGATGTCCATCCTTTCATTCCTTTTCGCATGCCATACCCAGCCCTTGCTATCTTATCGCAAGTTACACAAGCGTATTTAACGTCCTTTATTTTTTAAAAACGTTTGAACTGGGATTTAGGGTGCTTGCGTGGCCGGTATGTATTAGGAAAGAAATTCTCTACTGCTCTAACTACAATAATTGCGAGTTATATTTTTCTTACCACGTTGGCAGAGACTTACTAGGGCTTTAATTTTATACTTTTCAAACTCCTTAACTTGGGGATGAAAGAAAACTTTCAAGTCTTATCTGGTCAAAAGAAAATTAAATAAAAAGTTTAAATCATAACTTTCAGAACATTGAGGTAAATCGGCTTTGCCTGAAAATAAACAAGAACAGCTCTAAAACATTAGCGCTTCTCTTTCACTTCGTGAACCCTAGTTTTTCCCAGTGGTACGTTAAGCGACAAGGTGTTTGTCCAGACAGGTATAGGCCTACATGCATCAATTTTGCTGTATTTTTTGCAATAGAGTACAAGTATAACGAGTAATTTTTGTATCTGGGAGTAGAACCAATTTGAATGAGCTCTGAAGTCACGCAAGACAAAACAATAACAAATTGATTAGTTCAGTAGTTTTATTTCACTCAAAAATATTAGGGATTGTACTAAGAGCTGTACCAAGATCACTCAGCTGTTGAACAGAGCAATATTTTGCCATACCTTATATATTATGTGAATCTAAGCACAAACATTCTCTGTATTAATACTATCGTCCGTGTTAATCAAAGAATGCGAGCATAACAACATCAGAGCAAAGTCTTGTGTTGCAAAGACAGCCAGTTGCCTTCGAATAAGCTAAAAAATAGAGTTTTTTTTTTTTGACACCGTAACGACGGAATTCCTGTCCTTAGTAGTCGTTGAAACGATGAACAGCTTCAGAACTTCCCACGTTAACAACCAGCTCGTTGGTTTGGTATGACCCGAGACATTAACCCCTCGTCAGAATCATGTTCGTGTAAGATATGTTACTGGTATGTATGTATATATATATATATATATATATATATATATATATATATATATATATACAAGGGAGAGAAGTGTATACCTAAGGGCTCGTATTTCCGTGTTTTAACACAATATTAATGAGATATAACAGACAGTAATGCCAAGGAATGTACAGGGAAAGTTATTAGAACCAATGGAATGTAAATAAGGAGGAAGAAGAAAGAAAAGTGGATGAAAAAATTACCAGCTGTGAGCAGCAGTCGAACCTACGACCGTCGAATAACGCGTTCGATGCTCTAACCACTGAGCTATCACAGCGGCCGTCCCTCCATCCACTTTTTGGGGTTTATATGTGAATTTAGAAGTAGGAGTGACAATCAGCGCCATCTATAAGCGAACCAACGAGTGTGAAAACACTCTTATTCGCATGTTTGGCGACACGTAGCACGTGAACTTATTATGAGCGGGCAGCTGATTAATTGTCCCTCTTATACAACCTAAACACACCAAGTCTGCCAGTACGAGACCCTCGTTCAATAAAATAAGGGAGAGAAGTGTATACCTAAGGGCTCGTATTTCCGTGTTTTATCACAATATTAATGAGATATAACAGACAGTAATTTCATTTTCATTTCATTTATTTACTCTCAAGGCCGAAGCATTACAGAGAGGAGCGGGTATACATCGTACAGAAAATCAGGAAATACAGCAAATCAAAATTATATGCGCACAATGGCGGTCTGAAAACCATAAAAGAAAAGAAAGACTGCGTGATGTGAAGAAGAGGCAGGGTGGTTGTAACAACAATGTTCAACATTGTTGCGTCTTTGAATGACACGCGCACACAAAAAACTAACAAGAGAAAACACAGCGTGACTTAAGTGGCGAATTTACGTGAAATGGTTAGAGAGGGCGTTTTTAAACGAAGTGAGATCAGTGATAGCAGCAATAGGGGCGGGAAGGTGGGTCCACTTATTTGCAGTTTTCGGGATGAATGATTCGAAATACAAATTCGTGCGGGCGCTAGGAACGCCCACTTTAAACTGATGATCGTTGCGTGAGGAAACGTACGATGGGGGCTGGAAAAGAGTGTTGCTAAAAGACGGAATACAATGAAAGATCTTATGGAACAGGCAAAGGCGAGATATTTTACGCCGCAGTGAGAGAGTGGGTAAGTGAAGATTGGCTTTCATCGAGGTAACACTGGACGTGCGATGGTAGTTTGACATGACAAAACGTGCCGAGCGATTTTGAACCGCCTCGATGCTGTCAGCGAGGTAATTGGTATGTGGATCCCAGACTGATGACGCGTACTCGAGTTTGGGTCGGACTAATGTTTGATAAAGCAGAAGTCTAAGGTTAGTCGGAGCCAAAGAAAAGTTTCTGCGCAAATAACCTAACGTGCGATTCGCATTGTTTGTAATGTAATCGACATGCGTGTTCCAAGAGAGATTGTTAGAAATATATACTCCTAGGTACTTGTAGGATGAAACCAGATCGAGATTGCTGTGGTTAAGTGTGTAGTCGCACGGTACATTATGAGAAATACAACGGGAAATTCGCACAGCCTTGCATTTAGTAACGTTTAGCTTCATTAACCATGCGTCGCACCATGATGAAATGCGATCCAGATCTGTTTGAAGGGCAAGATTATCTGCGTTAGTCCGGATTTCCCGGTAAATTACACAGTCATCGGCAAATAGTTTGATGGATGATGAAATGTCTTTAGGTAAGTCGTTGATGTAGATACCAAGAACTGAACCTTGCGGAACGCCGGACGTTACAGGGCTAGTCGGGGAACAATGGTCGTTAGCAGTTACAAACTGGGTGCGGTTAGATAAGAAACATTCAATCCACTTTAAGACGTTAGCATCAATATTTAGCGCGTTTAGTTTCAGAAGAAGTAACTTGTGGCAGACGGTATCAAAGGCTTTTGAAAAATCTATGAACACACTCAACAGTAGATGAACGATCAGCAGCAG